CTCAAGAGCTGATGAAGAGGGGGCAGAAAGACTGTAAGAGCCAAGGATGGTAGGTGACAACAAGGAAACAGTTTTCCAGGAGGCTGGCAACTTGCTTTTATGAACTTACAACAATGATGACAGCATGCACAAGACCCATGCAAACTGAAACCAGAAACCCTGTCTTTTGACACAGGATCACCACTGAATCTGGAGCTTACCTGTTTGGCTACACTGACTGGCCACTAAACCCAAGATCCTCTTGTCTCTGCCTCCCTAGTACTGGGATTACAAAACGTTCCACTTCCTCTAGCTATTTTGTGCAGGTTCCGGGTAGATTGAACTCAAGTGTTCCTGCTTGTGCAGCAAAGACATTACCATCTGAGTCATATCTGTAGCCCTGACATATCACTTTCAGTTCATCCCACCAAGAGAAATTCTCCTTGGTTAAAAAAACAGCAGCAAGAAAGATATTTCATTATAGCATGTTACGGTTAAATATTTTAGAATATGAAGAGAAATATTCATGATCCATACTGTGAATTTAAGCAAAGGACTATAGAAAATATTAGATTACAAATCTTATCATGATAAGATAATGCCTAAGGAAGGAAGAGAAGCAAGAGAGATAATGGTGTTTCTCAAAGTGGTTCCTCTTCCTGAAATAATCTACAAGGATATTTTTCCCACACAGGAAATGGAATTATCTTCAACCTCATCACTGTGAATATAGAGAACTAGTGCTTCACGGCAGTGAAGGTTTCATATTCACTGAGTGTGTCTGCTTTCCAAAATGCAAAATTTGAGCTACACATTATACAAATCCATAAATACAATAGTACGTGTTTGAAACAAGAACGAATACCTTAAAGCCGTGCCTCATCATTTTTTCCTTGTGTACTAACCTCTCAATGCCAGTCATAGAGAATCCCCTCTAGGAACACACATCTGCTTTCTCTCTAAGGTACCATACCATCCTAAAACTTCCTTTTTTGTGATTAAAAAACAGTGTAAATAGCTGCAGAGGCGTGGATTTAGAAGTTATCTGCAATACTCATGATCGGTTCTTTTTTTGAAGCAGGTGGCACATTCCCCTATATCCTAGCATACAATAAGAGGGCGAGACAACCAGGTCAGCGTTTCCCATAATCTTGCAGTGGGAGGAATCAGAATGAAATTGTCAGAAGAAAAACTGTAAAGAACAAAAATCCATTTGCCCAAGTGAATGGCAAGGATAAGTATACTTTTCAGCAGGTTTTCTGGTTTCAGTTCAGTATACTGCTGTGTTTCTTCTCCAACCAATCACTGGCCTCAATGTTTTTAGGACAGGTATGGTCACTGCTAATGATTTCTGCAATTTCCTGTCATGGGTAGAAGAAACAATTGATTGGTTTCCTGTATTTTTATTACCCCTGGCTGATTGGTCTTTTGGTATGTGGTGTTTAGGTGTGAGAATGTCTCATTATTATTTTGGTTGCTCATCATTCCTAGGAATTTCTTAATGTCTTGATGTCTTCTGCCATCCTTACTCTTATCTCTTCAAATATTATGTCTGCAATGTTCCGTTCTCCCATTTTACAATTTATATTTAAAAACGTGATGAATCTCTCTACTAAAGCTCTCTGTCCATATTCTCTTGAACAACCTCAAAGTGATGGGACAGAGACTGATAAAGATATCAGATGTCCTGCTCTGGCCTCCATACACAGACACGCACTGTGCACTCACACATGCAACACACACACACACACACACACACACACACACACACATACATGCAATACAATTAAGTATTCCATTAACCATGAAATATTTAAAACCCAGCAATCTGCTGATCTTTAGAAAAAGGAAAATAATTCACCTGAGTTTTCTACTTTCTAATTTGTGCAATCAGAAATCTGGGGAACATGTATGAGAATGGATGTTAAGTCTATCGGGTAACTGAAAGACCCATGAAGTTGGAGTCACCTGAATTTATAGATATGGACTCTCTAAGCAGAGATTTTTTTAACTTTTGTTTTTTATTTTGGAGAATTTCATACATGAGTATTTGCATTATTTCCATCCCTCCCAGTCCCCCACCAACTCCTCCCATGCCCCCTTATCCCTCTCAATTTCTTGACCTCTTCTTTGACTATTATTACATATACATACATTTATAAATATACATATATAATGCACTGAGTCCATTTAGTGGTGCTCCTGTGTACCTGTGTTTAGGGCTTCCCAGTTGGGATTAGATAACCTCTCAGGAGCTCGTCTCTGGAGGAAACCAATTCTCCCTGGCTCAGCATCCACTGGTTGCCTGTAGCTCTTCATCTTGAAGTAGGACTCTGTGATATTTCCCCCATCCACCTTGCCATGTCAACTGGTTTCTTTCATGATTCAGATCTTGTTAGACTACTAACAATTTCATTGGTGTAGATTTCATTGGTGTAACTTCACCGTCACGTCTAGAATGCATTAACCAGCAGCAGATCCTGCCTGTCCCTCTACTCTTATATTCTTTCTACCCCCTGAGCCTTAGGTGTAGAGGTTAGGCAGAGATTTTGAATTTCAAGTTTCAGACTGGAGGATTAGGAAGGGTACTAAAGTTCATTTCGTTGATTGAAACTCAGCCGAAAAGCTAATGGCCTACAACAATCAAGTGGGACGGGCCTGATACACTCTCGGTTTGCACATGTTCGATCTCCAGAGTCATTTATACATTGCCCTATTTGAGAAATGACTGATAAAGAGGACTCCGGAAACTGTTCTTGGGCCTAGGCATTACTTAATTGATGTTTGATTCTCCATTTTTATGCTTTTTCTTTGATCTTAAGAATCTCAAACATGCATACAATGAAATATGATCATGTCCATGCCCATTTCCCCTCTAAATCCCTCTATATTCTCTCAAATTCATTTACAGACACAAAAGTCAAGTTAACTAATTGTCATTTATTGTACAAATTCTAGTTGAAGATACAGAAGAAAATCACAAGCACACTAACAACTATATTGTGGTGCATTGTGGCATAAAGTGGCTATGGAGCAAGGAGCAAGGAATTGTGGGTGGATACATAGACAGGTGTTAGGTGATCTTTAAGTGGAGAATTAGAAAAGCATGCCAGCTGTGTGTTGTATGTATAAGGTGAGCATGTGTTGGAAGACAGGGAGAAGTGACTGACAGCCTGGATTGTTCATTGTCTAATAGGATCCTGCTACTTAGGTTAAAGATAGGAACACCTTTTAAAAATAGAAACAACTGCAACAAAATCATTTTTCTTAGTTTAATATTTTCACTGTCTTCTATTTCACAATCTCCTATTCTAAGCACCCTGCAAGCATTTTGTGCACCTTCCCACACCCCTCTGTGAAATGCCTCTGTGCATTTGCTTTCATTTCTGTTGCTACTTCTCATCTCCATGTGTGACCTGGAGTTGATTTATCACTAAGGACTTTTCTCTTAATCCAATATGTGCCGTCTCTGCTGGTTCATTATTTTCTCTTTGCTTAACTTTTATCTTCTGTAAGCTACCTGCTGCCTAATGTTCTACAAATGCTTTTCTAATTTTTATGCCTTCTAGATTTTATCCTCACTTTTCCCCCTCTGCTTATAGGCATGTGAGGTTTGACTTGTCTTTCCTTCTATCTCAAAATAATTCACTTGAAGTTTTAACCATCTTCATTTAGTAGATGTCACTTATAATGGTTTAAACCTCTAACATCACATTGTATCTTCATTACAACTCTGTGTTGGATTCTGTCAGACCCTCCCCAAATGCTTTGTCTTTGTCTTCTCAAAATGGTAGCCTAAAACTAAGCTTTAGGGCTGGAGCAATGGTTCATCAGCTAAGAGCACTGGCTGCTCTTGCAGAAGACCAGGTTCAATGCCCAGCACCCACATGGCAGCTAACAACCGTCTGTAACTCCAGTTCCAAGGGATCCAACATCCTCTTTTGACCTTCTCAGGCACTGCACGACACACGCACCCTAACATACATGCAGGCAATACACTCACATATATAAAATAAAAATAATAAAATATTTTTTTAAATAGGCTTTAGCATAGGCGTATCTGTGGCTTTCCTCCACCATTAGGAATTCTGTATCTCTACTAACTCCTCCCCATGTTGCCAGGCATCCTTTATTTGAAGACTCACTTAATGCATCAAACAATTGCTTAACTTTATCCCTTAATTTAGCTTGCTAACAAATTGTATCAGTATCTCCTTGGGTCTTTTGAGACAGGATCTCAAATAGCCCAGGTGAACCTCCTATTCACTTTGTAACAAATGCTGAACTTAAACTCCTGACCCTTCCAGATACTGGTATTTCTGGCCTATATCGCATATATAACATGGCTATTTTTCTACATGTGCTGCTCATTATGCATTATCATTTCTCTTCATTCCCACTGAATTCATTTTAACCCATCTTCATCAATTTACTCTTCTTTTAGCACAACCGTCTTTTCAATTTATCCATATATATATTATATATATATGTAATATATATATATATGTTTACCTATTCATCTCACTAGAGTGAATAGCTTAATAAAGTCCTCATTACCTACTATTCACCAGATGGGAAACACTATTGAACAATACCATGTTAGTAAATTTACTGGTGATTCAAGCAATATGGAGATTTTTATACAACTTTGTCTTTGAAAAAAAACATATCATTGGGGGTACAAAATATTTCCACATAAAAATTATAGACCACATAAAATAGAAACATATATGGAGATGGATCTGGGTGGGTGTGTATCATACACAGCTCTAGCTATTGGGAATTCTAAAAAAGAATTGAGATCCAGTATTACTTCATTATCTAAGTTTAGTTCAACTCACGACTCTTCTTGTCTTCCCTATTCTTGCAGTAGTAAACGTACAATAAAAGCCCACCTATTCTACACTGACTTATCAGAAGGAATGTGTGGGAGGTCATGGTACACAGCAGGAAAAAAAGAGTTGATCATATCCTCATGTAAGGGAAAATCAGAAATAGCATAAACAAAATATTGGCATCTAGAGAAGAAATCTATTGTAAAACTGGCAGAATGTGGAGCAAATAGATATTTTACCAATAACATCTTAAAGGTTTTTGGATTTTTGGATTCTACTGTGAATCAGATTGCACTGGTCATGATCCTATGACTCCCCTTTGTCCTCCAACTCACTGTAAATTGGCGAATAAATGTTTAATTCTTCATAAAGAAGTTCTTCTGCAACCTGAAAAGAAAAAAAAAATCATCTTATATCAGAAACCCAGAACTTTCCATTCATGGAAGCCCTCTCCCAGAGGTATATCAGTTCTCCTTCTGTCTTCCTGAATTTCAGCCTATCTCTCACTATACTGTAATTATTCCCCTGGTATCCAGAAAACCAAATCAGGCAGGCTGGCCAGTAGGAACAGAGAAAAACATTTCAATGACAAGTTGGTGAGATGACTGTGCCTGAAACTTCAGTAAGTATCATGTATCTTTGGAAGAAAGTGATCGTAGAGGGTGTAGAGTCTCGAATGTATCACAAAGTAGACAGAGAGGGTACATAGTGTGCCTTATTCATCAGACTTGGGCAATTATAGTGCACTAGGTACTGGTCATTTTTACCTATGGTGTAACGAATAGATGTGGCAGGCAAAAATGCAATTGTAATCATGAAGTAGGAGGAGGAAAGAAACTTGAAACTTTAAAGCAGAAAGGAAAAAGAAATATTTTTTGAAGAAGAGGAAAGGGCAGGAACAAATGTAAAAGCTCTTTGGGGACAAAAACAATAAGGCCCAAAACCTGAGCTTTTTCATCACATGTTGCCTATGCATTCATTTCTCAAGTGTAACCCCCTTCAAAGCACATTCAACTTCTGAACTTATAAATATCCTGCATTCCTAATGCTCAAGGGGCTCTACTATAGATCATGTGCTATTTCAGTGTGTAAAATTAAATTTAAAATATGAGATCTAGAAACCAGTTTACTTTTGAGAAATAGTTCTCCAAGAAAAATAATCCAGAAAATTCAGGCCATGTTTTAAATACAAATAAAGCACAAAGTTTTTAACCTGCCATTCCATATTCCATGTTGGACTCCAACCTACCTTATTCACTTTGAGTTCTTCTCTAATCCCATAGATGGTGAGTGACACAGCACTGCAGAACCCCAGAATAGTGAGAAACAGCATCATCATGACAAGTTCCTGTCAAACAACAACCAGACAAAAAGACATGGTCACACAGCAGATGTACCCCAAGTCCCTTCCCTTTACAATAGTCCCTCCTTTCATCCCTCCCGCCCCATGGGCAGACCTTATAATTTCTCCCACATGAGCACACCTTAAAAACTGACATACACGTGAAACTAGGACAGAACTACTTGGGGAAGATAGCTCCAAGCTTGAGGAATTTAGTCAGGCGTGTGCGTAAAGGGCAGGCATCAACCCCCTGGACTGTATGAGCGAACAGGACACTATTTTGAGGTGGAGGCTCCCCAAAAGGGATTGTTTCCCTGGAAGTGGAAGATTGTTTCATACTTATTCAGGACCCAGAAACTTAAGTATTTTCATAAGAAATACATACAGTGACAAAAGAAGCCACGTAGCAGTCATCGTCGTCGTACAAATCCTTACAGTGGTCTATGCAAATGCTGTTGTTGCTCAGGTTGAGGATCAGGATGACAATTCCTGCTCCCCCGGAGATGCTGCTGACAATGTTTGCTCCCAGCCTTCCTCTCACCTGATAGCCAAGACCAACACTCAGCCCTGGACCCGGACCTGCCAGCAGCCAAGCTGCTGATCTATACTTCAGAGCTGGTCTCAGGCAGTAACTCTAAGCTGGTACAAAACTTCAGGTAAATAGCAAACTCTTGAAAATGTACTCACTGTTTATCAAGCATTTATTTCTTTCTGGGACTACATTTAAGAATAACATGAGGGCTGCAGATATAGCTCAGGGGTAGAACACAGGCTTAAGCACGCACATGCTCCCAAGGACCAGTCCCCAGCACCAAAACAAACAAGTGAAATAACACACACATGCAGTCTATCCTCAAACAATCTCAGAAATGAATTATGTATCTGATCACGAGCCACCTGCCTCTGCCTCCCAAGTGCTGGGACTACAGGCGCGTGCCACCACGCCTGACCAAAGGTCCTTTTTTCTAGCCTTTAAAAGATGAAGAAAGGCAAAACTGTAACTCACCAGATACACTGCATTTTTCCTTTCAGACATAACTGACAAAAATCCAGAAATAATAAACTGTCCAAAAAGAAATGGGAAAAGAACCCAAGTGAGTCCTTGCTCTCCATTGTGTTCCTTTCCCCCACACTTGAAATATAGAGTAAAATTTTAGATACTCAATAAAGCAATCCATTATTATCTCCCATGAGACCAATATTTATTATTTCCTATAAAGGACTTTTTAAAATTAAATGTTTACACAAATCATATGAAAGCTTTGATGAAATGTGGGCCCCAAGTTGAGTGTGGTAACACAGGCCTATATGCTTGTCATTCAGGGGTAGGAAGACTGAAAACTTGGGGAAAGCCTGGGCTACATAGTATGTTCAAGGCTGTCTCAGCTATATACCTGTCTCAAAATAATAATAATTGGCAATAATAATAAAAAGTGAAGTTACTTATTCATTAGGTCCTGAGTGAGACCTAGAATTCTTCATTTTCACCTAGCTGCCAGATAAAGCTGGCTTTGATGCTGCCTGTATAGGTAGCATGGGCTAGTAACATGTGATATATAACTATAACCCTACTCTCATTGTATTGTAATCATTTGTTTATGTGTGTGTCCTCTGTCACTGTCACTGGTCCTTCAGAGCAGAAACAAGTATCTGCAGCAAGCATATTTCTAGAGTCTGATATGCAGCACATGGGCAGACAGTGATTATGAAAATGTACATGATAAGAGAGTTAGTAAAAATGTCTATTGATTCCTCAAGTTTAAAGCATCTTCTACAGATTTATATTTTGGGGTCTGAGAAGTACTTGGAAAACTAAATATCTGATCTGGTGGGATGGCTCAGTGGAGGTTGTACACACACAGGCCTGGTGAACTGAGTTTGATCCCACAAGATGGCCAGAGAACCCACCAGAGAATTGTTTTCTGACCTTGTCACATGTGCTGTGTTCTTTTCCACTGCATTTTTGTTGTTCACACACACACAAATAAATAAATAAATAAAAATAATAAATAAATATTTTAAAGCTTAATGTTTGCGAAGAAAAATAGAGAAAACTTTCAAATAAAATATGGTATACATTGAAGACATTCCTGTCAGATGAGCACTACATATTTAGCAGTGTCAAGGCAATGTGCTATGTTTTGGATTTAAGTCTATTTTCATGACTCAACTATTGCTACAAACAAAGATAAATTGCACAATAATTGTATGAAAGGATGGCAGGCACAGAAGACAACAGGCTTCACAGTTCGATTTCTATAAAATGCTAAAAGGTGAAAATTAATTTACGATTACAGAAAGGAAACTAGTGATTGTTTCAAAATGAAAGGTCAGAAATGGAGAGAGACAGAGAGGGGTTGTGGAGAAGTTCAAGTAACTTTCAAGATCATGGATATGCCTATTGTATTGAAAGTGACATATATGCCAATATTTTATGTGTATATGTGAATCAAATTTTATCAAAATGTACACCTTAAATATGCACAATGTATTGTATGTCAACTATGCATGTATAAAGCTAAGGTTCCTTGTGATTTCATTCAACCACATATTTTCCAGATAGTATGATGATTAAAAGGGATCAAGTGTCAGGGCTGGTGGCACACACCTTCAATCCCAGCACTCTGGAGCCAGAGGCAGCGGATCTCTGTGAGATTAAGGCCAGCCTGGTCTACATAGTGAGTTCCAAGCCAGATGGGGCTACAGGGAGACTCTGCCTCAAAAAAAAAAAAGGAATTCAGTAAGTACTTATTTAAAAGCATGTCTAGGGCACAATAGAAGTTCATCAAATGCCATTAACCTTGTATTCACTTGAATAATCTCACTTCAAAAAAATAGCTTTTAATTTCTTTTAGATTTTAAAAAATTGGCAAGAGCGAGAGCGAGAGCGAGAGAGAGAGAGAGAGAGAGAGAGAGAGAGAGAGAGAGAGAGAGAGAGCTGTGTGAAAGTGCCTACAGAGGTCAGAAAGAGATATCTTCTTGAGTTGGAGTTATAGGCATTTGTGAATCACCAGATGACACTGAGACCCAAATTCAGCCCTTCTGAAAGCACAGCAAGTGCCCTTAACCACTGAGCCATCTCTCTACCACTAAATTACTTTTAATCAACAGATAAAAATGTATCTGTTTTTCATGAAGTTCTATCAATGAATGATGTTAAGGGTATTTTCCTGGAATTGGATTTTAGAAATTTAGGTTTAATTTCTATCTGCAAGTCTCTTGGGCAAGTCTTTTAACTTCTTATCTAGTGTATTTTTCTTATATAATTTCATACAGTCTCATACTTTCAACAAAAGCGTGTTAAATATTTCACCTAGAGCTACTGTGGTAAGAAACTTACTTCAGTCTTTAATGTATGTGTATAAATATATATAAACAAATATCTATAAATATACACATATGGAAAAAGGATTTGAAAACCATAAGTGGGGAAGAGGATGTGGCATATGTACATACACAGAGAGAGAGAGAGAGAGACCCCTCCTACCTACCAAAAACTTTTTTTTAAAGATAAATAACAAAACGGAGGACAGGGCATTATTTCCAAAATAGGTATACATACATATATATATATATATACTCACCAGTATTGCTCCCCAGAATGGGTAGCCTATTTTAAATGATGAAAATATTTCTTCAGCAACGCCTGAAATTTGGAGTGCAGAACAGACAAGTATTCCAAAACAAAGGCATATTGAACCAATCAGAATCTGTGTTGCCTATGGAAACACGAATTTTATAAAGTCAGAATATATTTTCTCAATAGTGTATCTATTTCTTTAAAATTAAAACCAAATATGAGAATTTTCTTTAGTCTTGTGGGCTGTCCTGAGATTGATCCAAATGTAAGATCTTCCAATATCTCCAATTCAGTATAAAAACTGAACTGAAATAAGCATAACAAAGGCCAATATACATCACATACATATTTACTTGCATAGTTATGATGGAGAGCAGCCACGTTCTTTCCATCTACATAAAGACAGACATTATCCTCCTTCCTGTTTGTTGTTCATGGCCCTGTAGTTTAAAGTCTTAATGACAAAATGTGTGTCTTTTCCTACATGGACCCAACTAATATTGTCAAGCCCTTACCTGTGGAGAACGTTAGAGGCCCTTTCACTCTTCATGAACACAAGAGAGAACCATTAATATACCAAACCCTCTTTCCATAAGACAGTTCTTGATCATGCTGAGAATGGAAACTATGCACTCACCCCCAGGAATTCCAACTCTTTCTTCAAAACTGTCAGCCACGCCTGCTGTTGTTGAGGGGAGGCAGACTTCCCTGGCAGAGGTTTTTCACGGGGAGACACTTCTAGGAGTTCGATTTCAGGCACACTGAAATTTACCAGAAATTCAATTGTACAAAAATTCTATAACTCCCTGTATAAAGTTGTTAACAGACAGAAATTGGAGTGTTCTTTGTTAATTGTTTCTCAAAAGAATCTACAGTTGAACTTTTCAGTGTACTAACCAAACGGCGGCTCAGAGGGTCCATGAAATTGACCAAGAAGACTTAAACACTATCCAAGTGTTAAGATGGGACAGAATGGAACAAAAGTCGTGCCACATGTTCTTCACCCAGATTACTATAAAGTTATCTCTCATCAATCTACCTCAGTAATTAAAACCCAAAATAGTCAAATATACTTGTCTGAGTACTTCATAGTCATTTTAGCACATAAACATCTGAATACATTTTTGTCAATGCACATACAACTTCATATGCACAGAAAACAGGGAAAGAATGACTTTGAGGGTCTAATTCAATTTCTTTCCCTATTTGATGCTTTGGAGCAGGAGTCCATGCCTTAAGGATCTCAAAAGCCAATCAAAAAGGAGAACATTTTGTAAAGCCCCTGACCCCAAACACATACCAGAGACAGAGGCAAGAGATCTGTATGAGGAGTTCAAATTCCTGTCTCGTACACAAAACAAGTCTCTAGTGTTAGAAAACCTGTTGTTCTCAGTTTACAAGCCACATAAAATCTTTGCTCCCCACTAGTAAGAGAGATACTCTAAGAAAGTGCACTCCACAGTGTTAACTGACCTTCATGAATCCAAGCACAAATCTACCTGCCCAGCATTATGAATCTCTCTGTCTTGGTAAGTAATTTAGAAAACTACTAGACTTTGCTTACCTGGAGGGTTCTTGTGGGTTTGGAAGAGTGAGATCTGCCCGGCTTTTATTTTCTGTGTCCATTTTTTCATGAATCGGGTTATCCAGGAATGAAGGATACTGTTACATGGAGACTTGGTGTTCTCTGGACAGGCAGTTAAGAGGGATTGACTCATAACACTGATGATTATCTCTATGCATAAGCCACTTGTCAGATAAGTTTCCCAGCTGATAGATATGAGTAGGTCTTTTTGTTTCTTGAGATAATGGAGAGCATTGCAAAACTGAGGAGACACTGAAAAGAGAGCACTTTAAACAAGGAAGAGTGAGCCTGCTGGAGCATGACTCTGCCAGAGACCTAGACAATTTGTGGAACCTAAAAATGGAACATCTAAATAGGCATTGGGAAGGTAAAAATGGAACATCTAAGTAGGCATTGGGAAGGTGAAAATGGAACATCTAAGGAGGCATTGGGAAGGCTAAAAAAAAGAAAAAAGAACTGTAGAATTTAGACACTCTCCAATTGCAGTGTTTTCCCTGTTTAAGACACATTTGGCTTCATGTGTAGCCTCAAGGCTGAAGCACTATTCATGTTTATTAGCATTAGTCTCTAATTTCCTGTCTCTCTCTCTCTCTCTCTCTCTCTCTTTTTCTCTCTCTCTCTCTCTCTCTCTCTCGCTCTCTCTCTCTCTCATCATAGTATTTGCAAGACTACCTGAGGCAGATGATCTTGGAAACAAGACAGGCAGAGTCCTAATTGCTGTGAATCATGGTTGGTGTAATGTAAAAGCCAAGAAGTTTTAAACTAGCAAAGTCACTGGAACTAACCAATACACTCTTTGAATTAAACATTAAGTATTAGAGTGACTACTGTTGAGATCTTGGTAATGGAAAGAACAAAACAAAGGAAACGTGGAGGGACATGAACTTGACAAACAAAGAAATCTTATGAGCAAGTCTGAATAATGGGAACTGAGCAATATGTCTGCCCAACCGATATGCTTCTTCAAATACCATAACCAGGCACCCCAAAATACAATGAGCGAGGGATGTGATTCACAGGTCTGTATTGCTCGTATTTCAGTTTAATTCTAGGTGCCTAACTTTGAATGGCTTTTAATAACTGCAAGATACTATCGATGGAACCCTAATCACCTGAGTTATTTTCTTTGGATGTCATAAAAAGTCTCAAGGGAAACAACAATGTTTACATGAACAGAGGATTCTAATGCACATATTGGAAAATCTTTCATAACAAAATTTTGCTAGCCCAGGTACCATCTTTCTACTGCATCTTAAGAAACCAGCAGGTCTAATAAATGTACTATTTGAATTAAGTAAAACTTATTCCCTTATCCATTCATGCAGAAAGACTTAAGTTTACATCACTGATCAGGTAAATTGAAGGTCAGGGTCCTAGCCTTACCTAGCTCACAATCTTACAGACTAGAGCAAAGAAAAATGGCTTATGGTGACTCAGAAGATCAGAAGCCAGAGGCCAGAGGCTGCTGGAACATAGAAGAAGGTACAAGAGTTCTGCCTGATAGATTATACCTAGGGTTCAGAAAAGGAATTCCCAGAAACGGTGATATTTGAGCTTAGACTTAAAATGATTGCTTCAGAAATTTCATTCACTTTCCTAACTTTAATGAAACTACATATACCAGCCAGAGAAAGGTTCTCAAACAATGCAATGGTACTTGGTGATATTTCCTAGAGGTATATAAAATTTTACTATGTTTAGCTAAAAAAAAATCAGAAACCCTATTTGGACAAGAAACAGATTAAGAATGGCCTCTAGTGTTTGGACACAACGCTGTTCTATGGGAATTTTCAGTAGCATATCACAAAATGCAAATAGGGAACTGAAAGTTGCCTTATGACCTCCTGATTGTTTCAGGCCTCCAGGTTCACCAACATCTTCACCTTTCCCCTTTATGGGATGTTTAGCATGTTATGTATTCATAGCCTGGTTCCCTACAGGCATGCCCTTACCTTTCACAATAGCAAATATCAAGACATAGGATCAAATAACTTTCTTTGGGGCAGAACAGCATTAACAACATGTGTTTTAACCAAACCTCTGCCTGAAAGAAAGAGATAAGAGTTACCATTGCTTCCCCATACAGCTTTCCTCCTCTGACAGACACGGGCTTTGTACATGTCTTTCACACTGGCTTACTCTTTTGACAAGAAAATTTTTTTGTTTAGATAGTTAGATCTTAGATTTATGCCCAGAAATCAAAGAAATTTACTTTCAAATCCCACATGAGCAAATCTTTTCTCAAACTGCATATTTAATTTACTTAGAATAGATATTCACAAATTTTCATGTCACAAATTTTGAGTTATGTTATCTTTAGAGGGTATTTTCTGATAGTCTCAAAGAATCACAGCCTCAGTCCCTCTCATCTCCCTCTTTTCTCCTACCACACCTTTCCATCTCTTCCCTCCTCTCCCACATTCACACTTCTACATCTCAGAGTCAAGCCTTCATTCAATAAAGATGATGAAGAGACCCATAAAGATGGCTCAGCAGGTAAAGGTGTGTGCCACCAGTCCTGAGGACCTGAGTTCAATTCCTGGAACCCACATGGTGGAAGGAGAGAACTGACTCTACAAAGTTGTTCTCTGACTTCCACATGAATGCTATGATGCACACTCATGCATACACACAAAGCACACAGAGTACACACACGCACACACAATATATATGTACATACAACACACATGCATGCACATGCACACATATGAATATAATGCACACTCACATATATACACACACAACAGATATACACTCACACCACACACATACACAACATACACACATATATACACATGCCTCACACAACATGCACACATCACACACATATGCACACAATAAATGTTTTTATATTTATATTTATTTATATGATTAAGCCTGAAACAGCTCAAGGCTAACATTAGGCTCTAATGTTCCATGGGAATTACAATTATAGAAATGGTAATGACCTGAATGGTTCTAAAGGTCTGGATGCCAAGTGCAAACTTTTAGAGAAAACCTTTGTTTCTTCATTCATATGACTTCAAAAATAGAAAGAGCCAGATTCATACAAGTAATCCTGGCTCTAAAAATATCTTTGACTCATCCTTGTGATTGAAGTTTGTCTATTACAGCCCATGGGCCAGTTAACTGCCAAGGCAATTGTTTAATTCATGTTAATTCTTATAGAATTACTCATAGACTCACTATTATCCAAAATGATGTTTTCATAAAGGTAATAAATATGCAATCTTTTAGGAATAAGACCATCTTCCCAATGGGGGCAAATAATAAGACACAGACTTACCAACATGATATAGACATCAGCTGACATTCTTGACATGAATGGTGATCATGCTAGCTTTCTTAAACCTAAAGAATTGTTCTCATAGTATTGGAAGGTGCTATGCAAGCTGCCAAGGGCAAAAAGAAATCAATAGTCCCATCCAGCTGCAAAGCCTAAGAACCACAACAGTGACCAGCCTGGCAGGATATTTGCAATGGTGCAATAGTGAGACTTTTACTTTGGGGGTAACCAATAGTTATGTAATTGAACTTAAGGCCTGCATAATAGGAGAAAATTCATTCACAGTCCTGTAAACCTAGCCAAACACCCATGACTAGAGAGATCATAGACCCTAGAAGAGATCAAACCTACTACTGTCATTTTCCAAACCCAATATAATTTCTAAATGCATTCTAAACACTTATCCTTATACCCACACATAAGCGTATCTTTCACTCATAAAATGAGCCAACAGATCTGATAACTAATACATAGATCTACAAATAATAAAAATGCAGAGACTAAGTGACTGTGGATGTTCTTTCCCAGTTGATCCATCTACAACACAACCCTACACCTAAGGCTCAGAGAACACTGAGGAAGAGGGGGTGGAAAGATTGTAAGAGCCAGAGGACCAGGACTTCACTTCTACTACCATGTAGTGTCTTCTAGACATGGCAGGGCAGCTGCACCCATGAAATCTCCACAATAATGTTGCTTAAGCAAGACCTGCACAATGGCAACACCAGTGAACACGCCAATGTGGATGAGGGAAATTTCAAAAGATCCCAGCCCTATATGAAGAGGTATAGGCAATCAATGGCTGCTTGAGAGAGGAGGAATAAGTTTCCTCTAGGGATGAGTTCCCTGATAGGTTGTCTAATCACAAGAGGTCATCCATAAACACATGTACATATGGACAAAACTAAATGAACTCAGTAGGTTTTATATAAATATATATGTACGTATACATATATATTAAAGAAAAAGAGGCCACAAATTTGAGATCAAATAGGGGAGGACAATGGGAGGAATTGAATAGGGTAGAAGGAGTGGAGGAAAAGACATAAATACAGCACTTATGTATGAGTCTCAAAAAAATAAGAAAGTTGCCTGGGCATAGGGGCCCATGCCTTTGACCCAACACTTGAGAGGCAGAAGGAGATAAAACTCTGTGAGTTCAGGGTCAGCCTGGTCTACGTAGAGAGTTTCTGCCAGACAAGGTGACACTGTAAGACCCTGTCTGAAAAAATAAATCTAATTAGAAAGTAGTTGGTTATTCCTATATTTGTGCCACACTATTGTACCAGTAGGCTATCTTGCCAGGCCAGTTGTAGCTTGCAGGATTCACAGCTGTATAAGGTTCAAGCTAAATTTTCTCTTCAGGCAGCTTGCATACCACCTTCCAGAACTAGGAAAGCTAGTCAGCAGCAATGAGGCTTTGAAGTCAGGACCAGCTTGATTCCTCATTGTTCTACAACTCATACATGCAGTGTTTTCTAATAGGGACTTACCATGAAGTTCTGGTGGCCGACCAAGAGAAGGGGAAGTGGTCAGTGTTGAGGGACTATGGGACTGCTGGTCAACAGGTTCAAAAGAGGGAGTCCATTCCTGGCATTGGGATTTTTCTTTGCTAGCCTATGGTGTCTAGTAGGAACAACATCCCCCGTTATAATGTAACTTTTAATCTCTTTATAGTGTTTATGTGTATACTTTAAGTAGTTTCTATAGTAGTAAGTTTCTGTGTGGCTTTTTCTAAAGGCCTTTGGTATTAGTTATCCCTCCCCAAACTCCCTCCTCTGCCCTGCCTTCCCATTCCCTACCCCATTTAACCCTTCCTACTCTATTATTCCCTTTTCCCCCTTTACATCACTGCATTCGAAAACCCCTCCTACAAAGCCCCCCCATCCATGGCTATTTATTACTTTCTTGACCCCTCTGGATTTTCAAATTAAAACAAGCATATCTAAGATTTCAGAACTAGCATCCAGCTTTGAGAGAGAGCATGAAACATTTGTCTTTCTGAGTCTAGGTTACCTCACTTACAATGATTGGTTTCCAGTTCCAGTTCCATTCATTTACCTGTGAATTTCATAATTAAATTTTTAAGAGCTGAATAATATTCCATTGTGTGTATGTACCACACTTTCATTGCCAGCATTTGTTTGTTGGACGTTACCCATTCTGAGTGAAGTAAGATGAAGTCTCAAAGTGGTTTAGGAGTAAACAACTACTTTCTAATTGGATTAAGTTCTGCTTTATAATATGGAACCCATACATGATATAGCTAAAATTCCTTCTGAGATGTGGAAATGATGTCTGGCCCCTCCTCCCATGGTCCCTACACCAAACCAAGGTTCAATTTCTCCAAACTGTATTCTGGGAAACCAGTGAGTTTATTGGGCTTACTTACAGAGCAATGGGTGAAGGTTTACTTACAGGAGTGTGGGTACTCCCCTCCTAAGGCTATACTGGAAAGTCTTCATCCAAGCATGGATTATGACTTCCCCATAGCCCCACAAAATGGTGAGAAACCCTCCCCTTTGTGCAACTAGGGCCAACTGGTTGGTTGGGAGGTGTGACTGACTCTCCCTGACCCTCCTTTCTTGCAAAGTATAGCAGTCAACAACCTTAGCTGTGATGATCCAACCTTAGCAGGTGAAACCAAGCTTGGGAAGAAGGCATTTGTCTGTGGTCTGCCTGTAAGAGGACAGCCCTGTGCAACACCTGACATATATATCAGTACTAGGAGCCTGAGGCTAGACAGCCCACAGGCCATGGGAGAGAGCCAAATACAATTATTCTGCTAAATGGATATAGCATTAAACTGATTTCAAAAGGCTTATTGTTATACCCAAAGATCAGTGCATCGCTCAGCTCCAGAAAGAGAAGCTTCCTTATACACAGATGGTGATTACCACAGAGAACTGCAACTAGTCAATGTGCAGAGAATAAGAGGCAACAGACAGATTATCCCTGAATAGGATACTTATATCAAACTTCTGCCTCTGAAGGTTCAGGGATCATTACAGCAGAGGGGGAAGAAATATTGTAAGAACCAGAGGTAGATAACCACAAGGAAACAGTTTTCCAGACAGCTGCTCAGTTACACATATGAACTCACAGCAATGGTGACAGCATGCTTAAGTCCTACGTAAACTCAAGCCAGACAAAAATACTAGCATAGACATGGGGAACTGGGTAAGAAACCCCAACTTGACCTGAGGAACAAGTGGCAACTGATGGCTGCTGGGAAAGGAGATTCAGCCTTGTTTAAAGGTGAGACTCTTGGTAGGTTGACCAAAGTATGTATACTGTTTCTATATGTATTAGAGTACAGGAAATTTGGTGGGGGTGCAGATACAGGAGAGGATCTGAATATGATTAAATATGTTTTATTAAATTCATAAAAATTCAAGAAAAAATAAAACAAAAAATGTTCATTTAAAATTTCTTAAATGTCAAATTATTGAAAAAAGAAGATATGCAAATAAATAAAATTAGTAATAACTTGAAAGAAAAAAAGTTACAGGATATAATTAAAAAGCATACAATAAGGCCT